TTTATTTAATTATAATGAAATTTTAATATAATTATACTAATTAAAAATTACAATTTTTCATCAAATTCTTTTCATATAATAATAGATAATAAAAATTAATTATCACTCCGAGTCAGAAAAGTAATTAAGAATTAAGTTTAATTTCTTTTAACGTTATTTCAATTTTTTAAAATTAACAAAAAATGTTTTTTTAATGCATTCGATGAATTTAAATAATAACTCTATTTACTAAATAATAATACTGTTTTATCACTATTTACTAAATTTGTATTGTGTTACTTTTTGTAACATTCGAAAAATTATTATTATTATTATTATCATAATAATTAATGTTGTTTTATTTCAAAATTGAATTTTAACAGCCTATGTGATCGTTAGGTACACAATATCAATTTTTCGACCACTTTTCTCGTAATATACTGAAAGGATGGATCTGTAATTTTTTTTTTGCTTTTAAACAAATATCCATATTTTGAATGTAAAATATTTCAGGTCAGTATTATTTTAACATAAAATTTACAATAACCATTATTATTATTTTGTTCAACCGGTGATAATTTTGTTTTGTACAATGATTAAAATTCAAACATTTATTTTATACAACTGAAAATAACAAGTTAATTTATTTTTAAAATTAAAAATATATTTAAAAATAGTACAAAATAATATTTTGAATTTTAATAGTTATATACAAACTAACATTATCACCAGTTGTGCTATTTTTATGTCATATTTATTAAAAAAAATTTTAATGATTATTAATTTTACCTAATCTGAACTTATAATTTTACCCTAATCTATTTCTTCAATTTAACATAGTTAAATTAACTAAGTTGGGGAGAGGTTTATTAAATGAATGAATTAATGAAGAACAATATGAAAATTATTTATTCAAAAAATATAAAATATTCTTGATAATTATTGTTTTAAAATATCAATCATATAATCCTTCTTTTTAAGGTTTGATATGGTTACCTTGTTTTGTGTATTTAATGTGTTTCCAAATCTGCTTCCTGTAGTGATTTAGTGATATAAGATTATATCTTCTATGATGATTTTTTTTGACGACCGCTCGTTAAAGTTTGACTGGACACTGTTTAAACTTAGACTTTTCAATTGCGTATTAGAACTGTATTTAACACTGATGAACTCCGTGCGTATAATTTTGGGACAGCCTTTGAAGTGAAAGGTTTCCCTTTATATAGTAATATTTTCCAATGTATCTCTCGCGGTGGTTCCAGCTTGCCTCTATGGGTTCGATTCAAAATCGGTATCTCACAGACACGAAAAAGTTTTATTGCTTTCCTCTTAGTAGTGGTGACTTTGTATGTTGATTTCCTTCTTTTTAGATCGTCTTTCATAACACCAAATATCAAGAACATTATAATATTTGTATAAAATTTAAGAAATATTATAATTTTACATATTGATCATTCTTTATATGTTCTAATATTAACAAATACCTGTTTAATCATAAATAATAATATTGTTTATAAATACATTTGTTTATTTATAAATAATTATCTATTTATAAATATAATTGTTAATTTACAAATATTTGTTTATTTAAAAACAATTATTTATTTACAAATATATTTATTTATTTTTTATTCAAATTAATTATTAATAATTAATATTATTTATTTATAACAAAAATGTTACGTTGACGTGACACTATATAATAATTATTTGATAAAAAAAAAGATGTTGCGTCAAAATATAATACCGACCCAATATTTTTACAGGGTCTGAATGAATCATTGATATATTGAATATAAAAATAATTGGTAGCAACATAATAGTGATTTACACATTTGCACTTTCCCTATATATATATATATATTTATCATGAAGGAAATATTATCTCAATGCCCCCAAGAGTTTACACAACATTTCCAAAAGCGCTATCACGTGCCATTAGGCAATGGCTCAACGCACTGAGTTAAAATATAGTATATACAGTACGCAAGCAGCACCCTAGGAAATAATCAAATAAACTTGATTGCATCGCCAAATACCAGTCAAATTTTGAGTAAAGTCTGTGCAGCCAACCATAAATAGTAGATATCTTATGTACACGATTCCCTTCCTGGAAACGCCCACCCTTTTCGTATCGCATTCCGCAAAGGGAATAGTGGGTCTTTTCCTAAGACCAACAGAGTGAGAGAGAAGAGCATCAAGTTAATATATGTATATAAGTTTTCTCGAAGCATAAAGTGGTATATATTCGATATATGTATAGGCAACATCAAAAAGGAGCATCGAGGAGTTTTCAAGTGAAATTTGTTGATAACCGTCTGATGGTGGTCTGATTACAATCTGTCTAATGGCCTATCATCGGGTGACCAGAGGTTCCGGTGAGCGCACACACGTTGGCAAATTAGTCGTTCAACCTCGTCATTTCTCCTCTCTTACAACTATCCACCACCTTTTCATATTACCATTTGACCGTTCTTTACCTTCATTTAAGTGGCGTTCGAATATTTTAGACTCAGCAGATCGCGTATCCCGTTATCGATTTTTTTTGCCTTCGTATATACTTTTGAAATATCAGTCTCAGCATAATAAAAAGACGTCATTATTTTACGTTCAATGAATATGAATTTTTTTTTTTCTTCTAAATTTTAGTTTATAGACTAGGCAGTTTCAAAAAAAAAAAAGAAAATTACTGTGACTTTTTTTCACACTTTTTGCAACTGTGAGAAAAAATTATCCTTTTTTTTTAAATTCATTATTTACTATTTTCAATGTTTCATTGAAAAAATTAGTCAGTTTCATTCAGAATAGTTTTTATTGTATAAAAAATTTTTAAATTACGCTAATTTAGAACAAGAAAATTAGTAAGAAAAAGAGAAATTAAAAAAGAAATGTGTTAATCACTTTGAGATTTTTTTAAAATCTTTTTATTTTTTGTTTTCTAGCTCTATTGCTCGAATTCATATGACTTTAATTAAGCTAGTTTATTTCGTTCAATTTTCCTCGCGTTGTTCGCGTTGAGCTGCGACGCTCGTGAATGGCTTTTATGTTCCTCACAAACCTTTATGCCAAAGTGAAGACAAATAAAGCCTTGTATAAATATGGGGGTTGGTGGAAATGTTACCTAAGGTATATAGTACGTCCACTAACCATCAAACATGATCCCGGACGATGCCCAAATTAACGAATACAATTTTAATAGAGCTCGCTGAATAAAAGCGAAGGGTTGCCCTTCGCCCTCTGATTTTACGCTTCTTGGTCACGAGTTTTGTTTTGTCATTCCACCAATCCCTTTATTAACATTTTATAACTATATTCAAAATACATCGCTTCCATCATTGTCAATTCAATAAAAAATAGTTGTAAGCTTTTATTTCTCATCTTCATTTCTCGACTTATTTATATAAACTAAGACCACACCTATAGATACCTATATTTTTAAAATAATTTTCATGCCGTGAAACAATAATAAAAATTATATCCTAATATTTTAAGGCCAGTTATTTATATCCTCAAATGCAGTTAAACAAATGTATTTGATTCAATTAATTCAAATTGTTTGAAAAATATTTAAATTTGATTCAAATGCTTTTTAATTGGATCTAAAAAAAATGTATTTGATTTAAATAACTTTAATTATTTGAATCACATTTATTGAAAGTAAATAATTAACTGAATCTAATAAATGATTTTAATTAATTTATGTAATAAGTTATTTTGAAACAATTAATTTATCTATTTCACTGCAGAGGATGAGTGGAGGAACCTTACATTGTCATCTTTACAAAAAAATAAGAAAATTTGGATAAAAAAATATATTGAAAGATGTAGAACTTTAGATTTGAAGAGAGCTTGTGACTCTTCCTCTTTTCCTCTGTACCCGCAATTAATGCCCCACTTGCAAAGGGGAATTCAGAACTATCTCTCCTTGACAACTGTTCCGCTTAGATATATTAAAGTAGTTGCGCAGTTAAGATTATTTAACAAATATAAACCGTCAGTTAATCTAGAAAAAAAAACTTTTAAATTCATTCCGGGTGAATATTGTGACTTTTGTAGTCAGAAAGTTGAAATTGGATTTGATTTTCTTTATCACGTATTAATGGAATGTTCAAGATTCGAACTTATAAGACAACGTATCAGTAAAAAATATGAGATAGAAGAAATAAGAGATGAGTGGATCGAGACTCTCGGTATGGCGAATACTGAGAATGTAAAAAACATAGTGGCATTTGTGAGAGAAGTTTTAAATGCGGAAATAACGGCAAGATAATATTACTATTTTTCTCTTATTTTTATAATGTTATAGTGTGTAAGATAAATGAGTTCAAACTCCTTTGTATAAATCTGTTGATTTGAAACAATAAATTTAATTTAATTTAATCTATTTCACTGAAATATTTAATTATTTTATTGATTTAAGTAAACTAAATTATTTAATATACAAATAACGTAGTACCTACTTGGATCGAATAAAGTACTATTTGCCACAATTAAAGAAGTTTTTTTTTGTTTCAATTAAAACAATTACTTATGTTGAATAATTAAATATTTGATTGAAGAAAATTTTTAGTTTATTTGATATGATAAAATAAAATACTTTATTATTTATTTGGTTCAAGTACATATTTCTTGGATAAGACAAGTAAATTATTTACTTAGATCTTAGATCAAATACTTTTGATTTGAATCCAAATTTTTTTTTTCATTGTGTTACCTATAAATTTTTAATCACTTATTCATTTGTTTGGAATATTTACTGATAATCGATAAAAGAAAAAAAGAAGCAAATGGATAAAAATAATCAATAGAGGAAAATTAATTATCAGAAGATAATTGATATTTTCTTTTTGTTTGCTTAAATGTACGAACTAATTGTAATAATAATAGTTAATATTTCGATATATATAAGAAGAGAGAGAGAGAGAGAGAGTGTTGGTAATGCATATTAAATTTGATAAGTTATGAAAGGGTAATTAGTCGAAGATTGCATTTTAATACTTTACTTTTCACGAATGTTTCAGAACACTATCACATATTCGTTGGGGACCTGAGCCCGGAGATCGAGACGCAGACCTTGAGAGAAGCCTTCGCCCCCTTCGGCGAGATCTCGTAAGTCCTCTTAAGCTCCCTCATTAAAGACGACTTACCGTCCCACTCTATTGCTTTGCTACGGGGCGCGCGCTAGTTTTAAACACACCGAAACGAACTAAAGCGAAAGCGTGAGTGATGCCTTCTCGCCAAAGTGGATTCTAATCTGCTCATATTGTCTGCAAAATCCCTCTTAAACATTCTCTATTCCCGGTAAACATCATCACACACAAAATGGAAGCTTAATTATTTCGAGAAATTATGAAAATCACACTTTAACTTTCTCCCAAATATTTGCGATTAAAGAAATTATTTTTATTTATTTTTTTTTTTTTATTTCGAAATTCTTATTATTTTTTTCGAATATAGTAATCGCGTTTAATTACTCAATATTTATTTTCTAATTATTTATAATTAATTCATAATTTAAAATGAATATATTTAATATTTTTTTTTTTAATAGAATGTTTTTTCATTTATCTCATCGTTGACGAAAATGGCGATCCTAAATTTATGTCAAAGGAAATGTATTTTCTCTGATAGGAATATATTAGACAAATTAATTTTAGTCTGTTTTTGACAATTATTACTTTATCTCAATATATATGATCGTCTATCAAAATTGATTTCAACATTGTGTAATTTATAATTGTGATTACACGATAACAAGCAGGTTAAAACTGAATAAATCCCTACCAGAAATTAGAGTATTATTTCAAAGTTGGCAACTCGCGCAGTTTATTTGTACATTGAAAAAATGTATTTAATTCAATTAATCAGTTACCTGACAATTATTAACTAAATATTTACTTGAATCAAATAATTTTTATGTGAATTAAATAAACTTTAATATACTTTTCTGATTCATCAATTAACCCCTTCACTGTTATTGACCTCTATAGAGGCATAAAAATATCGTGCCACCAGTGTGTATGACCGCTATAGTAGCATCTAGAAAAAAATAAGTAGACACAATACGATAAACTTGTCAATGGGTATTCTTAGGTATGGTAACATCAAGTTTTTTTTTTTTTAATTTTTTTTACCACATACGGGGCACGGAAGCTTTATTTCTGCTACACTGCGAAGGGGTTAATAAAAGTCATATAAAAACACTAAGAATATAAAAATTTAAATATGTATTTTGCGTAGCTTAGTGGGTAGTGGGTTATGCTTTCAGTCCATAAGACATAGGTTCGATCCCTCTCATTGCGTTATCGTTTTTATTTATTTCACAGGTTTGTGTTTTTTTCAAACTTATGTGAAAAAATTATAAAATCACTTATATATAATTTCTTTTAGAATTCACAGTGATTTCAAACAAACACTATATATATAAAAATAGTCTGATTGAATTGTATTTAAAAAAAGATGAAAAAACACAAACTGAGTTTCGAGTTATATCAATTTAATTGCATAGCATTGTTAAGCAGAGTTCATTGGAACATGATATGTATTATGACATTTTAGAATCATCGTTAAAATATTTCGCATCACTTGATGATATACGTTAAAATAGACACTGCTTACTGAGGAATAATAATAATAATAATCTTTATATAGAAAATATATATTCATATATATTACTAACTGATTCATTAGTTCCTTATTGTAAATCAATTCCTCATTATATATGTTCGATTAAATTACTAGCGTGCGATAGCGATGGCGGAAGACAAGTAGGCAGTAAAAGCAGTCCAATCAAGTATGTCCTGAATCTGCCACTGCCATTTCCGCGGTTACCATCATCATTAGCACACCTCGAACTTCAACTCGTGATAAATCTGCTAATCAACTGATAGTTTGATGCATTTATTGATTTTGAAAATTAAGACAAGAATTAAAGTATTATTTTTAATTTATTACACAAAAATTCTGACAAATTTTATAAACTTTTTTAAATTCGTTTACTAATTAAAGTCAGTTGAAATTTTCACTAATTTATAGTCAAATATTATTATTTGATTTAGTAATATTTTTTTAATTAAAGTTTTAATAAAAGGTGACTAACAATTAGTAGGAAATTTTGACTAACTTAATATTATTTAGATTTTGTCTGATTAAAGTTATGTTTTACTACTAATATCGAATTACAATAAATTAACAGTTTCTTTTTAATTAAGGTATCTTATTTTATTAACAATATCTATAACAAAAGCTTCTGTAATATTTTGTTTGACTAAATCTGTCTTTCACTACTAGTATACGAATATTCATAAGATTCATAAAACTGGTTGTCTGACTAAAACTGACTTTTACTACTGATATTGGCAATGAGTTTAAAATGTTTGGACTGTCTTTAATTGACTTTTACTACTGATTTTGTAATTTTACTCATTTTTATTAATACTGTAATTCCCCTAAAAAAAAACCTTTTTTTGTATTTAAAAAAAATATAACTTTTTTTTCATTTATATGTTTAGAACTCATTTTCTCCGAAAAAGTTTTGAAACACATATTCGACTTTCTTATTCATTTGCTTTATAATATGTCAGAGGGCAGGTATATACTTTATATTAAAAACTACATAAAATATAAATTTAGAAAAGTTTAATTAAATTCTCGTGGATTTAATTTTGATATTTACACACACACACACACACACACACACATACACTATATACGTTTAAAAGTTACTAAAATGAAAAGACTTTTGATTCTCAAAAATAAAATAAACGGGTTACTTTTTTATTTTGCTTTTTTCCTTTTTTAGGTAAGAGTCATTTTCAGAGGTCCCGAGTGCACAGGAAATATTATTTCGATACGTCGACGCTGACTCATGAGAGATAGCGCGCTCTCTGTGGCGAATATAGTATATATAGAATATAGTTGGTGAGATCCTGTTCGCCGATCACCGTTCAGAGTTTCCAGAATGGGAACTAGAAACGAGCTTCTCTCCTCTCTATCGGACCCTCGAGGACACTCCAGAGAGTAGATGGTCGTAAATCGTCTCCCGATCTCACTCTTTCTCTCTCTCTCTCTCGTTCAAAAACGTCGAATGGATCAGCGATCGCGTCTTGCTCGATCCACGACTACATAATTAATCTCCGCAATGTTCACGCTATTGAAAAAAGTAGCAATCAACGTTTTTCAAAAATTGAGCCAATTTTTTTTGCCACCGTACAAGTGACATTAACTGGAACAACTTTTAATCTCATAGATAATTTTTCTCTCTTTTTCTTTCCCAATCGATACGATTATAAATGAAAATAATAAAATCAAACATTTGTTAAAATCTTTTTCACTCCCCACCCCCCAAAAAAAAAATAATACAAACTTTCAGAAATATTAGTAAAAGAAGAAAAAAATTATCCTCATTAACTATTTTTCCAAGATTTTCTAAGGAAAAGTTTTAGGTACCAATAAAAATGTGAGAATTCTCAGTCGAATCAGTGAACAATTTTTTTTTCTTGGCGAATTCTTAAGAAATTTCTCACGTGAAAACGGAGAAAAACAGAAGAGGTGCCAGTGAGGAGTGGATTGTGATGTGGTGGAGGAAGAGAGAGTGAGAGAGAGAGAGAGGGGGGGGGGTGATGGGGAACAAAATAAAGAGGAAAACCACCGGCAATTTTTCAAGAGCTTTTTTAAAGCGCTGTTACGTACTCACGGAAGCGAGTTTGAATCGATTTTCCTAGAAGGCTCCATTTTTCCAGGGTCTTTCAGTGCCGAGTATAAGTAGACTCATACTTACTACAGCACTTTGGCCAGTAAAGTCGCTTATGTGTACGAGTGTCTATATGGAATTTCATTTTCATCCAAAATTCTATGCGCCAGACTGATTTAGCATTATCTTTAAATTAAAACAATAATAAATTAAAATATTTCATGACTTAATATGACTAAATATAAATATAACTTTTTTTAGATGAAGTTTGTTATAATTATATGAGTTCTAGGACAATTGGATTTGGTGGAAAGTGGGTTATGTACATTTTCCGTCAAATTCGTGTTTGATGGTTCGTTAAACCCAGTTGGTTTTTTTTTCTCACTAATACCACTGCTTTTGCAATTCGTTAATGATTAATTATATCAAAGAAATGTGAATTGTATATACAATAATAAATTAAGTAGATATTATTTAGGGAAAAAAATTTTACGACTCTATACCTACTCCTGTCAATTTCTTTTTTAAAAAAAACACTACTTTGAAAAAAAAGAAATTTATTGAATCAAATAATTTTTTTTTTAGTGTAGGAAAAATGAGTTTGAGTAAAAGTAAAAGTGTTTAGAAATTCTTGGCAATTTTTTAATAATAAAAGAAGAGGATTAGTCAAATAAATTGTTGTATAATTAAATTAATTTTCATGTCAGTAGTAAAGGACAGTTTTAATCAGACAACACGTTTTTAAATTTTTTTAATTTTTATGTTTGTAGTAAACAATTTTTACATTCGGAGGAAAAGCGCGTGTTTGGCAATTAAAAATTTAAAAAATTTATTTGTTACAAATAAACGATTACTTGACTATTATCTAATAAATATTTTCTTGAAACAAATAATTTTTTATTAGATTAAATTTTATTTACAAAATAGAAAATTTTGTATTACAAATTCAAAAATTATTTGGTTCAAGTAAATATTTATTTGATAATACATAATAATAATAGTCATGCAACTGATTATTTGAATCAAATAAATTTTTTTCAGTGTGGAATGACTGTAATGTTTTTTAGTTGTTAGCGAAAGTTTTCATTTGGATATCAGTAGTAAAGGTCAATTTTAGTCAGACCTTTCTTTATTTCCTATCATTTTTTTTAACAACGAAAAACAATTTTAGTCAGACGAGAGGTTTGAAAATCTTTTAAATTTTAATATTATTAGTGAAAGTCAAATTCTGTCATACAAGAGAAGTCAATTCTGTGTAAGTAGTATAAAGACAGTTTCAGTCAGACAAAGTGCTTAATTATCTTGTAATTTTCATATCAGTAGTAAAAGATAGTTTCACTCCAACAAGTAGTCTTAAACTCGTATTATTTTAATATCAATATCAATTATTATTATAATTATATATCTATTTTACTTA